GTGACTTAATGACACCTCTATTTTATTTCAGCTTTTTCTTGGAGAAGAATATGTTTGTTTTCTTCTTGAACATCTTGCGCCAGAAATCTGGTCGTTACGTGTGTGTACAGCTTCTACAGACTCTGAACATCCTTTTTGAGAACATAAGTCATGAAACTTCATTGTGTAAGGGCATGCTTTTAAACTGTTTAGGATTAAGTGATCAGGATTTGATTGAATTCCCCTTCATTTAATGAAATTCTGTCTTAGTACCCCTTCACAGAAGTACCATATAAATTCCTAACAATCTTTTTAATGGAACACTACTGAAGATACAGTGTAATTTGACTCCAAAACACCTTTTAATGTAAATTTTCAGTAGTACAAAAGTTGCTTGGTAATTCTGAAACACTTATTTAGCATGTTTCAAGACATTCTTTAGGTCAGCAAATTAGTTGTGGTCTGAAATGTTTGCCTTGCAGATTATGTGGCACTCATAATTTGTACTGGAACTGTTCTGACATCATTTGGGCTGGCATTCAGCCACTTGCATTTACTTCAGTGTTTTTAGAAACATAAAGAGGACAGAGAATGAATAGTTAAAGTACTCCAACTATCATGAAGAGGGAAGGAAAAGAGTTGTTTTAAGTGTTGTTAGCTGCAAAGCCTACATAAATTAAGGAAGGTGAAGTATATTCTCAGTTGTCTTTTTCTTGGGAGCAAAGACCTTTGTAGGAAACAATTTCCTTATGTTACCACTTGTAGCCATCACCTGAGTTGTTTGCTTTAAAAATTGCAATCTTCAAGCATCAGGTAATTTGTTGCTAGCTGGTACTTTAAATACAGCTATTTGGCTTAATGATTTTTTGCTTTCTGTTAACCTTGTGTCATGTCTCATTTTTCAGACTACCTGCTCTCTAATAACTATGTAAATTCTATCATTGTGCACAAATTTGACTTTTCTGATGAGGAGATCATGGCATATTACATATCATTTTTGAAAACTCTTTCCCTGAAGCTCAACAATCATACTGTACATTTCTTTTATAATGAGGTAAGTGAAGAAAGAGTTGCGGTATAACTATAAAGGACTTCAATTAGAAATTGATAGAAATTGGGCACATATTCTATTTAATCTCTTGTCTCAGTATGTCCTGGATTTAGTTTTATAATGGTAATATCAGTGATTGAGAATTCGTTTGTGGGGATCTCTGCAAAGCATGATAAAGAAGCTCTTTGTCCTCATACAGCTATAATAAAACCAAAATCTGAAAGTTAGTGTTAATATTGGACTGTTTCAGTAGTTCTGAAGTCTGCTTCCCTGAGAATTCAACTTGCTTATGCCGTGTTTTCTCGTGCTTTTGCAAACAGGATCTTTTCTGTTGCACTACATGTTTCTAAGAGGCTTAGTCAAAGTCTAAAAACCCTGAGTAATCGAAGGCCAAAGGTGAATTGGATTTTTCCTCGCTCCATTCCACTTTTTGCCAGGAGAGGGCGTTAAAGCACTGAGTATGTCCAGAGTAAACATGGGAAGCTCTGACGCTTAAAACATTTTATTTTAATGTAGAGCTACAAATGCGGCTGACTCTGCATTGTAAAATCTTAAGTAGAAGGTAAAAAATCAGAATAATAAATGGTAAACATTTTTCATACAGAATCCCAACAAATATTCTGTACATATTTTGATTAATTCATAACTACTTTCCTCTTGTTACAGCACACTAATGACTTCGCTTTGTACACTGAAGCTATTAAATTTTTTAATCACCCAGAAAGCATGGTCAGGATTGCTGTTAGGACTATAACTTTAAATGTCTACAAAGGTATGGTTTTTTACATATTAAAAAAGGCATGTATACAAAATGCTTGTTTTATTGTAGTTTAATCTTCAGTTATTTACATTTAAGGGCTTTCTGTCTGTTTTATGACGTTGAAAAGCTTATCATGTTGACATGCTTAGATACCGGTTTTGATTTTTATGAAACAGACCCCCAGTTGTACAGTATGTACTTGTAAATATTATTGTTTCCTCACAGATGAAACATGGTTTTGAAAAAGCCCAAACCAGTATCAAGCATACATAAAGAACTTTACTTTCCCTTCCAACAGAGATCAGAATGTGACTATGTAAAAAACAACAAACAAAAAAAATACCCCAATCCTAAAACCAAAGTGCTTTAAGAATATCAGATACTTTTACTTGTGAACTTGAGCATTATAAGGTATGAAGCAATAATCTTGTGGGCTACATCACTTCCTTTTGGATTTGAAGTGCCTTAGAATATGATTGTAGAGCTTCTATGTGCTGCAGTCACTCTAATCTAGCTAGATCATCTCCGGAGGTGCCCAGTGAAGGCCAGGAGGCTGCAGTTTAAAATTCCTGTACTGGACATTCCAGTAGGATATAAGGGAAAAAAAAACCCCAAAATTTACTGTGAGAATCGTTAATCGCTGCAACAGGTTTTCCAGAAAAACTGAGGAATGTGAGATCTTCAAAACTCAACAAGGCCCTTAGCAACCTGGTTGAACTTTGAAGTTAACGCTACTTTGAGAATGGGTTTGGGTTAGACAATGTCCAAAAGTCATTCACTTCCCCCTAAGTTTTCTTGGGGTTTATAAAATCTGTAATAGATTGATAATATCTCAGTGGTCTCTGTAGAAGAATTGGTATTCAGAACTTCGACCACTGAAATCAGCATGTTGTAAGATAGTATGTATTAGGGAATGTGTTCATGCAGGACTGCTTATTTTTCAATACATTTTAAATTAAATTATATTTTGTATTTACACAACTTTATCAATGAAGAGAAGCAGTGATTTGATGACAGTCTTCATCATAGAAGAACATAAGATCCTTTTTAAAACAATGCAATATTGGCTTTGCAAATAACTGAATACCCTGCATAGCAGATAGGTTCTTTATCATGCTGACCACAAGGGACAAAAGTCTTTCTTTTGTATGTTGAGAAATGGGCACTTGGTACTTGTTTTTTACTTCAAGGGAGCTATAAACCCAAATATGAGCTCGCAAAAAGAGTAAAGTGCAGGCTTCATATCCTATTTGTTGTTTGTTTATATAACTAAATATTTTTATGGTAAAAATATATATTTGTTTAGAATTTTCATTGAACGTTGTAGTGCTATAAAGGTTAGAGTTGAAAAAACACAGCTCAGATGTTCAGGTTTCACAATTTTCTGACTATCCATTTGCATATATTCTGATCTAACACCTGCGCTGTATGTTTTAGTTTAGATGCTTTGTGCTTTAGCTTTTTAAACCCTTTTAGAGGATGTCACTATCCCAGCTCCTAATCCTGTTAACTGTTGTCTGTTTCTTTTGCCCTTCCTTCACTGATGATTCCTGTGTTCCTTAATGCAGTGTCATGTAAGTCTAATTAGCTTGACTTTCAGCATTACTGCTTTATTCTTATGCTTTTTTCTCTTCTTTTCTAATAAAGAATGTGCTAAAAAAACCTTTCTGCATTCCACTAGATTTGTTTATCTTCAGACCTATGTAAATATATCAGTATTGGGCTCATTCAAGCCAATTAAGAAGTGATATGACACTTTTGTAGATGTCCATTTCATGCATAAGATCATGTCAGGTATAAACTTGTATGAAAAGCTAGCATGTAATAAAAATTCAGAAGATAATTTTTAAGAAATACAACAAAGTAAAAAAAACCGACCTGTCAACTGATTTTTCTTTTTAACAATTTCTCTTCAGTGGACAACCAACCTATGCTGCATTACATTAGAGATAAAACTGCTGTCCCGTATTTCTCCAACCTCGTTTGGTTTATTGGAAGCCACGTGATAGAACTGGATAACTGTGTGCAGACTGATGAAGAGTAAGCTTTTACAAATGCTGAGTAGTGGAAATGCTTTTTCCAGATGTTAATACTCCTTATTTTGTCTGTAGTAGTTCTGTAAAGTTCATATCTAAATGTTCCCTTTTAGACAGTTCAAGCTTTTCATTCTTGCAAAGTTTTTTTTAGTGATTCTTTGAATTCATAGTGGTTAGTGCTGTGTGCCCTATCTCTGCTAATATCTGTACAAGTAAATTAGTGTTTGGTGGCGTGCTTTTTCTTCATCTTTGTTTTAATTCTGCTAAATTTAGTAGATATTCATCAGACACAAAATGTATTTTGTGCTTCTCAGTCTTACTAACTTCGTCTTTTTAATGTTCCTTTTCTGTGTGTCATCTCAATAGAATAGCTTTCTGAAAAGATTCTAGGAAAAAAATTAACTGGGTGAACTTTATTTAATATGTGAACTGTCAGACGTGAAATTCCTGTGTAATATTCCACTATCAACTACAGAAATATTTTGTTGATTCAGGTTGTTCTTGGTTTGCCTTCCCGCCCCCAACTTAGCACAGGAAAGCAAGAAACAGCTGCCCAAAGTGAAGAGGTAGATGTTAAATACAACATAGATTTCTTCTTTTATTTTTGGAAACAAATCTTACAGATTTTTATGGTTGGCTTGTGAAAAGACTCTGGCAATGGAAAGCAAAGTTTTGTAAAAACATTGCTTCTGAATACTTGGGGAGGAACTTGATAGGTGCATTGTAAAGCACATACAAACCTGAATACTGCTTGCTAGCTGGATTAGTTAACTTTACTGAAAACGTCTTAGAATCATAGATTCATCTAGGTTGGAAAGGACCCTGGAGATCATCTAGTCCAACTGTTCACCTAGCACAGTTCCCACCTACAGCATATCCTTAAGCTCCAAATCGACCCTGCTCTTGAACACCTCCAGGGATGGGGACTCCACCACCTCCCTGGGCAGCCCATTCCAACACCTAACGTTGTCTTTAGGCAGTGAATCTGTGCAAGGTGATCTGTGGGAGGGATGCACGTTAATTATTTCCTTAAGTTTTTAAGACTGATAATTGAATATATCTGAGACTTTTTTTCTGCTCTCTTCTTTAGGCACAGAAATAGAGGCAAACTGAGTGACCTGGTAGCAGAACATCTTGATCATTTACATTACCTTAATGATATCCTTATCATTAATTGTGAATTTTTAAATGATGTGCTCACAGACCACCTTCTTAATAGGCTCTTTCTTCCTCTCTATGTGTATTCATTAGTAAATCAAGATCAGGTAAGCTAATAGCCGAAAACAGTTAAGTCATAAAGTCTAAATTGCTTTCAGTATGCATAATGATTTGTTCAGCGGGTGTATTCTGTAGTAGAGTTAACACTATTGATATCTATGTTTGTGTGTTTTACATGAAACAGTTTAAGAAAGATAGCTGTAGGGGGAGATACTCTGAAACTGAATTTAAGGGTAGAATAGATGAAATCTTATTCACTGACATTGGATGGTATTGGATGACATGGTTGTTAAATGCTAACAATAGTGGAGGCAAGAAGAGCTGCAGAGTTGTAACAGGGTTTAAATTTCTCTGATGCTGGCCGATGTGTGATTTCTTTTTCTGATGTGGTAACTTGTCTCCTGGCAAAAGAAGATTATAATAACTTTTTCCAGTGTGTACACACATTTTCCATGGTGTAAAAGTCCACTCCAGGTAGAAAACATAAACTTCTGGTTTTGTTACTTGATTCTTGTATTTGCAGATAAGCTGTGTTTGAATATGATGTAGTTGAATGTATTTTTAAAGCATAGCCTTTAAATTGAGTGGAAAGCTAATTTTTAATGAAATAGAAACTGTTTTTTTAAAACCTCTACAAGTTCCTGTATTCATTTGTCTTTTAAAAAAAAACAACATTCACTGTTTATTTCGGGGAATTTTTTTTGGCTTGGTTCCTCCGTTTTAATCTGTAGTGGTGTTTGTTCTTAAGATACACAGTGCAGTGTGACTTTCAGCATACTTTCATTAACCAGAGATCAGGTTTCTTGCAAGTTCATGAATTCAGTATATTGCATGGGCACTGAAAATTGAGTAACAGTCAGCTGCTTGTCTTGCCATTGGTAAGGCCGTTGGAATAGGGTGAAGCAGACTTCCTGACACTTACTTTCATTTCAGCTATACTCTTTCCTTACGTGCATGTACAAAAACCTGCTTGTCCTCCTGTTTTCAGGCACATGTGTCTATTATGATGAGGTCAGAGATATTTGCAAACATAAAATTGGGCTGTTCTTACCTCTTGAGATACTTGATTAATTTATTTGGTGATGGTTTTTAAACTATCACTAGTTTATTTTTAGAAACACTTTTATTGCTACTGGTATATAAAATTAGCACTGTTGTGCTCAAGTTTTACTTAAAATATTTTTGTCCCGTGTGATTTACCTGATTTAGAGAAGTGTCTGTCAAGATTACGTGGGCAATATTTCATTGTTTCTGAATAGCTAGTTTTTAGAGTAGACTTTAATGAATGTTAACTGAGAAGTACTTTTTGAAGGAATAGTAGCATAGTGAAATCCAACATACTTCTCAGATACTCATCTGTTAAATTTAAATTATTGAAGTGACTATGAAAGACAGTAATCAACAGCAATTGTTTTTTTAAGCATGCATAGCAAGGGATATGCTTATATGGAGAATTGTTATTTGAAATAGTTTACAAGAAGTGTTATGTTAAAGAGCATGATACTCTGAAAATTTTGTAGAAGGATGTGGAACTATAAAATATTAAAATTTTTGTTTTAAATAAAATATTAAACAGTGTAAATGCTTCAACTTCTTATAAATAAATCAACATTTTTCATAATGTTTTCTCCATAGGGTGGAGAGCGTCCGAAAATAAGTCTCCAAGTTTCTCTCTATCTTCTTTCTCAAGTAAGTATTGAGTATTTTGTCCTATTTCAGAACATGTTTTGCAGTAGTTCTATGATTTATAAATTACTGTATTTTATCTATTTTGGCAAAGCCATTAAAGACAATTTGGGAAATATCAGTTTTCATTTAAAAAAATAAAAATTCTTTATTAACAGACCAAATAGCTGCTTAGTCGAGTTAATATCGTTCTTCTGAGGATCTCATAGCACTGGGTAGCCTTTAGAGCATTTGGTGATTATCGTTTATGTACACCACCTGAAAAATGGTGCATAATAGAGCCATGCATCATGCTACGACAGGAGTCAGTAAAATTGCAGGTGAAATTTAGATAGATGCTATACTGCACTTTGAATCTGCCTAAGCTTTGGAAAATTTCAGGCTTGAATTTTTCCTATTCAAAAAAATAGAGGAAGCAATGGTCTCATGGGGTTTTTTGATTATTTTTAGAAAAACCCAAACCAACCAACCAACAAACCTCAAAAAAGCACTACCACCAAAAGCTCAAACTCTCACAATTTGAATTTCATTATACCTATGCCTTAAATCTATAATTAAGTACCTTTTATTTCTTCTCCCATGTCCTTTTTTTTTTTTCTAGAACTTATTTTTAAATGGAGTTTTACAGTGGATCTTTTTTTATTGTGGAAAAAAATATTATTTTCTCTTTGTACTCTTCGGTGCATTGCTATGAGACTAGTTTTCTTAAATTACATTCTCTGAAAATAGTTTTGACTCACATTGATAGAATTTATACTTTTTTCATTGAACTTATGATTTTGCATTAGTAATTTTATTATGGTCTGGCCTCTAATTTCGTCAAATTTTTTTTAAGAACTTATGTGAAAAATGTGAAATTTTTTAGGATAGTATAATTTGATGCTTCTTTAATTTAAACCTAAAAAAATTGTCATCATGTGGGAATTATTTACCACAGATAAAAATGTAAGAGCAACAGCTTCTTGTAACTGAAGGGATCTGCATCATAGTGTTGAATATGTTGGACTCTTAACCTCTTTGATTTTAGTGGAAGTATTGGCTAGGTATCACTTCAAGATTTGCATCTGTGTCCTTTATTATTTTTAATAAATAAAATAGAACTTTTTTCCTAACTGTAAAGAATTGGGAACAAATTTTTTGTGTATCAGAATGGGATTTGATGTGGAAAGTTAAGCTACTTTTTTCTCTAACTGGCAGAAATGCATATTGTTCCCCTTCTTTTTAACCTAAAGTCTGTCTTTGAAGTGGGATCTGAAAAAGCGTACACTGAGCATCTGAAAAACCTTCTTAGCTGTTTCTGTTATTGACACCAGGCATATACTTTAGGCATTACTCATGCATTGGAGACAAGTCTTGAGAGACTCATAGTAGCAGCATGCACAGCAGTGTTAGCTACTGTTCACAAAGTGAACGTGTGACGTACTTATGCCAAAACATGCCTCTGTATAGTTGAGCTGTGCTTTCTGAATTACAATAAGCTTGGGTAGTTTCATAGGTTGTCTAAAGCATTTTTGAATTGTGTTGTGACCTTCGAAGTTTAATGTAGGTCATCGCTGCGTACTAATAATCACTTCACTATTGAAGGTCTGGTATGGTTCTGACTAATCAGAAAATCTGTGGAGATCATATTTAGCTAAATATTGTCAAAACAATGATTATTAGGTTTACTGACTTAGAAATTGCTTGGGAATTTTTCAGCTAGAGCCATTGTTTAGGGATCCAGGTTTGGTATTCCTGTGAAGAGAATGGATATAAGCTGATATGAGGCTATTGCAGCTGGCCCTGAGCTGGTTCTATCCAGAATCTAATTACTGGCCCAACCTTGTAAGCTTTCCCTCAAATAGCCTGGTTAGTATAAACAGAGAACTCTGTTAAAGCACCAAAGCACTTCTGGGTAAGTGCTAGAATGGTATAGGCAGTGTGGCCCTTATTACTTGTGTAATTTATGTAGTACTTTGTGTAGCTGCTTTGTAACTAGACCAGAATTCATTGCAATTTCATAGCCAGAAAAACTGCTTCTGATGCAATTCAGCCTGTTGCATGAGAGTTACTCATGAATCACTATGAAGTAATTGTGTGCACAACACACAACTTACTGGAGTCCTGCCAGTCATTGGCGTACAAGAAGGTCAGTGGATGCTGTGTACCGTAATCAGTTTGTGTCCTTTCTCAAAAAATAAATATTTCTGGAGCAGTTTTAATTTGAGTTCTTGCTAGAACAATCACACAACATCCATCTCAAAGCTGATGAGGACAGAGAATTTATGTGTCTCAGAAGAAGAGTATAAAGAATATCAAACCTAGGTAGCTTAAAATATAGAGAAAGGTCAAATACCTATAGAGGGGATTATGGTATCCTGTGTTTTGAAGTAGATTTCATGAACTATCAGTGTTACCAATTGTACTTTATTTTGTATGTAACCTTAAGATACCAGTTTAACAAGGTCATAGAAGTATGTTCAGTGACTGAAACTGTGAAGCTCTATGTTCTGTTATATGTCTGATATTTCTTTCCACCCTTCTTTTAATAGGTTTTTCTAATTATACATTACGCCCCTTTGGTGAACTCGTTGGCTGAGGTTATACTTAATGGTGACCTCTCGGTGTTTTCTTCAAAAGTTGAGCAAGATATACAGAAAAACTCAGTAAGTGTCCAACTACTCTTTAATACACTTTTTTAGAGGCAAATCAAATATTTGAAAAACAAAATCAGGTATCTGGAAACTGGTAAGGTAAGGTCCTTGTGTTTAGGAGAAAAGAGCATTAGGAGACTGCAGCTTTTGTTGTTGGATATGATACCAAAAATATGCTTTATGCAAGTTACAGTATTATGTTCTTGTCAAAGTTACAATACTTTCGTGCATGCATATGTGTTTCAGATAGTGGTATAAGAATGTCTAGGGCACAAAGTAGAATACTTAGTTGCTTCTGCAGGGATCAGACACTGCAAAGGCTTCCATCTTTTTGATGGGACACTTTTGTAATCCAGTATTTTGTGTTCAGTTTTTGTTATCAGCTCTTTAGTTGTGAAGTAGAAATGAGTCCTCACAACTTTTCTGTGAAATTAATTCCTCATGCAACTTATAGTAGAAATGAGAAATGAGAGATTTAAAAAAAAAAAAAAAAACAACGAAAAAACCCAAAAAACCCCCACCAACAACAAAAAAACAACCAAACCTGGCCTTGGTTCTGTACATCAAATTATAGCAAAAAAAAGCTTTGGAGGGGTAAATTCTTTGGATGTAGAAGGAAATGAAGAATATTTTTTTTTGTCTGAGTATTCCCAATGTTTTAGGAGTAAAACTGATCATCTCTGAAAGTGTGTGTCAGTGTGCACAAGAGAATATAGACCAGCCACAAAGAGATGGGAGTGCTATCACTTTGTCATTGTCCTTGTACCTTCAGATTTAATCCTGTGTAGATGTTGCTAGTGTTATTCTGAGTGTGTTGTGTATGATTTTTTTTTCCCCTTTTGTGTGGGTTTCACAGTTTGTGAAATGCTTGCTTGTTTAAAGGCCTGTTTGGGGATGTTATGACCTTACTTTGGTTAAGATGCTTCTGACTGTAATTCTGTCTAAAGATTGAACATGTCCTCCTAATGTGTGACTGGTCAGCAAAGAGTTACTGACTGTATGTTTAATTGATAACAAGCAGTAGGTTGGTTCTTATGCACATTTTTTCCTAGCAGTGACTATAGCTCTTAGAGTTTCAAGGGAGAGATACTCTTCAACTCTTCCATGATACAAGTCAACTTTTCCAAATTTTTTCCTACTGTGCAGTGGAAGCTGTGTGGGCTGCTCTTAGCCAATAGCTTTTGGGATCTTGTATTTTGTACTGTTGACCTTGATATTTAGAATCTAATCTCTTTTAGAAAAAACTACAGTGGAATGTTAGAGCTGACCAAATGCTTCAAGATAAAGCAATTTCTTACTTGTGTTAGCAAATGTCTGACCTTCTGCTAGCTGTATACTGAATGTCATGTGTGTTACTTGCGCAGAAGCAGCTTTGTTATTAGGAAGTTTGTGGTGGGAGGGTGGGGCACCAGTTGTTGCAGAACTGAGATTTTTCTTTTCCTCTTGTAGTTGCTGTACAGAGTTGCAAAATATCTGTAGCATATGTCTGTGTGCATGCACTAATGTTAGGAATATTAGGGGTGTCCTATAAACTTCATCTATTCTCTTATGTTTCTAATACTATTCAGGTTGCTGCTTCTTACTGGTCTTAAAGATGGGTCCTGTAAAGTGGGAGTTCTGTCATACCTGAACATGTAGTAAATAGGAGGGGTATTGGCTTTCTAGGGTAGACAGTGGAACAACAGAATGGTGTCACTTTTGCTGGATGAGGAAGAAACTTCCATGGGAGCAACTATAGTTTTTAGTAAATTCAACCATGTTCCTTGGTGAAGTCTTGGAGGGAAAAAAACATGTACTGTCAGAAAACCTACTGCTCTCAATTGAGTATGAACAACTACTGCATGTATTGCATGTTGTTTTCTACTGATACACAGCTCAATGCAGTGGGGCTCAAGTCAGCTGTAGATATGGAGATATAGACGAGTAAAGGTGAGGCAGTTTCTTGTTGCTCTGTGATAAGACTTCTTAGAGCAGAAAGTTGGTTTTTGATCATTCTTAGCTGTTTCAGGGGCTGTTCTTTAGACTATTAGGGTGTATCAGGATCATTGCAAAGTTATTACTGTGGTGTATTCTGTTGCAAAGAAATTATAAACTTCTATTGAACAGTGGAACCTATTTCAAGAGCTACTTTAGAATTGTTTGTTCTGAGGTTAGTAGAAAAAAGTGATGAGCAAGTTTTTAAATTTTTGACTGAGTTTAGAGTTGTGTTTGTTCTCAAGTCAGACCCAAATTGATCTTTTACTATTTCCTTTCTGTAATAATATCCTATTCTGATGCTCTTCTAAGCTTGTTGTTTTGGGGATATTTCTGTATGTTATGGTGAGCCCCAGTTATCTCTAAACCCCTTCTCTGTAGCTAACACTGTTCATCTCTTGTAACTGAGATGTCTTGATATATTTAAATTGAAGTGTAATTGCCAGTTTCTAACTAACATGTAGTTCTAAAACCTGAAGTAGAACCTCATGTCTATATTCATCTTCCTGATAAGATTAATTAAAGTGGAATGAAGTGTGCAGACTATGGACTGAGATTACCAGAAGCAGGGTGATGTGTCCTCATTAGGAGACTAAATGAGTAAAGAATATTTAATTAAAAGCTGAGAAGGATTGCAATTACTGTCTATAAATGCAACATATCCAGAGATATTTAGGACAAAAGTGCAATGGTAGTTGTCATGACAAGAACAAATGGTACTTTTTACTGGAAATCAATTTTTTGAAAAAATCAGCAGATTTAACCTACTGATAGTGTTTGAATTGACAATAACCTACCAACGGAGATGTGCTGAACATCATAGGGGATGTTTGCCCAACCTCCACTGCACAGGTTCTCCACCTCAAAGTACAGCAAATTAAGATACACTTTTCTTTCCATATTTTTTCTCTCTATTTCTGTTTTTAGGTGGCATCAGAAGAAATACTAACTCTTACCTCATGAGAGTTGAACATGTGTAGCCAACAGAATGTATTTAAACTTGTTAGCAGTCATCACACTAAGGTTTATTTTACTTCCTGTGAGATATTTTTCCTGCGTAATTCGGATGTGGGCTAGTTCTACCTATTTCATGGTTTTTGGTTTATTGTTTAACCTACTTTCTCCTTCCTGTAGAACTTGTTACTGGCACTGCCTTATTTTACCAGCGCATATTGCACAAGACAAACCATAATTGAAAATACAGTTGAAAGACATTTTAAAAGTATAAAATAGCAGTATCTCAAACTGTATATTAGATAAACCATATACTATGTAAATTAATTTTAAGTCTGATTTTAGAATGTTTTAAGTATATAGCCTTGTTATATTTGGCAGAACAGAATATATATGTGGACTTTTCCTCAGCAGTCTTTCTTGAGATGGACCAGACCATGATTCACTGCTTATGAGCGCATCACTGCCTACTGGTCTCTTCCGTTACTTTGCTCATATGGCTAACAGCATATTAGGAATACCAAGAATGTTAAGTACATGCATTCTTCATAAAGAAAGTGGCTACAGGATTCTAGGAAGCAGTTGTCAGAAGTGAATGCAGGAAGGGGATAATACATTATGCATCTTGTATGCTACTTTTCTTTTATTCCCTGAAGAATGAGACAGTGTTCTTCCCTTGTGACTTTTCTGACCAGAAGCCATCACTAAAAGCTAATCTGGTTGTAACTCTGGTTGTTTTATAACCTTCCTAGGTTGCATTTTGATCAGACTAAAAATATATCAGAGAGGTTACTGGGGGACATAAGTGTGGTAAATTTCACATTGTGGGTTTTTTTGGTATTGTGAAAGATTCCTCCTACTACATGGTTTGTTTCAGTGCCAAGTTAAAGTGACTGATGCAAGATTTGAATAAAACCTTTCTAAAAAGTCAGAAGATTCAGAGAAACTTTTTGGCCTTTTGACTTGTGGAAGGCGTCTTCCCAGATCTTCTCCTAATCTCTTAATTTTTATGTATAGGTAAAGGGAGGGATTTTTCCAAACTTTTTCTGAGGTCTCTGCACTCATTTTCAATGCTTGTTATACTTGAGTCACCTAAGGCAAGGAATGGAATCAGAAGTAAGACTAGAGTAAATATACAAAACTTTTCTTTTGCTTGCCCTTAAATTTTTAACCCTTTAGCTAGATAAATGTGATAGAAAGTATTGAGGTCTGAAAGGTAATGACGTTTCTGTAGCAGGCTGGCAGGAAGCCCCCAAACCATGTGTTTAACTTCTCAGTATCGGAGAGGTTTGGCTGATCCATGTTATAGCTCTGGGTGAGAGAGAGTATGTACTCTGGTCATCCACCTGGCAGGCCTAACAAGTGGGAAGGGAGCTCAAAGCATCACAGCACAGAAACAATCTGCAAGTTTGTAGGAAACAGTTTTGTTAAGTCCTGCTAGTTGCAGAACTTGTAGTGTCTTGTGTCTGTCTGTAAGAATACATATTTCTCTGTTAGGATGGCATGGACTTTTGAAAATACTTATTTCCTTTGGGAGAAATTTGTCATCTAAATTTATTTTCTTGCTCTGTAAATTAATAATCAGGAAAATATTAATTGAATACTGTTTGCTGCCTTGTCCAGAAACAGTGTTTTGACCTGAAAGATAAACTCCTGATATCTTTGGGTGGAATACAAGTGTATTAAAGTCTAACAAATGAAGTGGTATTGGTTTTCTGGACTTGGTAAGTCAATGTCTGGAGGCCTAAAAAAGGTTGATGTCAGTGCTGTTTGTTCCTTGTTGATACAAGGACTAGTAGGCTGTAGAGTGAAGCTTAAGATTCAAAACAAGCTCGTGGCGTAGAGCGTTGGTTTTTGCCCTCATTACTACTGCCAAAGATATTCAAAGAGTGTATTTTGTATTAATACATTGCTGTCAACACACACTTTGGATTTTACTGCCTTTATCCTTTTTGCAAAAGGTGTCTTAATTTCCTGTCACCTGTTGTGTCACTTGTTAAGAAAGTTCAAAGAAGGGAAAGGAATTTAAGAAATTTCTATTGATGAAATGCATGGTTCTATATCTTCTTGGCTCAAGATGGCATAGTTTATAACTGTGGATCTTCAGGATATGTTACTTAGGAGACAATTGTTCTACAGATGATTTGATACAACTTGAGCTCTGCTTCCTTGTAGTTTAAAATGGATTTCAGATTTGTAAGTGGTATGCTAATTTACCATCTTTAATATGGACTGAAATTTCTTTTTTTTTTTTTGAGTTAAAAATATCCTGCTTAACTCTGTGTAAACTCTTCAAATTTACAGGCAAAGTCCAGTATCAGATGTTTCATAAAACCAACAGAAACACTTGAGAGGTCTCTTGAAATCAACAAACATAAGGGGAAGAAGAGGGTGCAGAAAAGACCCAACTATAAAAATGTTGGTGAAGAAGATGAAGAGGAGAAAGGATCTGAAGATAACCAAGATGATGTAGATAAAACTAAAGGTACAGAAGCGAGTTCAAAGGGCGTCAGAACAAGCAGTGAAAATGAAGGTAAGTATACTAGCAAATAAAAACTATGCTTACACTTTGGATACTGTTCTTTACTGTATGGACCTAGTTGTGATGCTACATAATTTATTCTCTTGTTGTATTAGGTGAACCTGGAACCATGAAATGTTTCAGTCTTTGACTGTGGTTTTTTTCTCATGTTGTACATGTTCTGACAGAATGATTTATCTAATCTGATTAAAAATTATAAAAGTGTTTTCATATCTTGCTGTAGCTTTTAGCCCTTGTGATGAATGCCTTGCACCCAGGTGTACGTTATTATGGGCACTTTATAAGTAGACTTCACAATTTTGAAACTCACGTGGTAAGGCAAATGGTGTAGCCACTTTGCCTTTGTAAGATGGTCTGGAGTATTTTGCGTATTCAAAACTGAAGAAAAACCTCTAACTCTTTAGATTATTTTTTTTTAATTTGCATGTTTTCAGGATTTTTGATATAATGCTAACCTTAAGAAGAATTGGTTTCATGGGATGAATGTTCTTACAGCAGATCACAACTGTTTATTTTACTAGTTAAAAGGATGTATATCAGAAAATAGTCCTAGCTTTAGACAAGAATTGAGAAAAATGTGGCAGAATTGCATGCAAGCAGTTGAAAACAAGACCTTTATGCTTTGACAGCCCTCTCCAAACAGTCTGAGAAGACTTTTCTTAAATGGTCTCGAATAACTGATGTGTTGTCTACCATGATTTGAAGAAAATACGACGCAATCTACTGTTTAAACTGGTGTATTTACTAGTCATCTTTGTCCAAATTCTTAAGCAAAAGCTAGATTTAGTCCTAGTATTTCTACTTAAAGCCAATAGGTGTGAAACACTCGGAACCAGGTATCCTGTTTGCTATAACTGTAGACACCTACAGTTTACACCCTCTGTGAAACTTGATGTTCACCCATGCCCCAGTGTCACCAGCACTGTCACAGATTTCTCTTCCAGAAAGAGATTCTACATTTTTTCTTCCTGTGGTTTGGAGGGGAGGGGCATTACTGTTGCTATTTGCCAAAATAATCTGTGTATTTTCTTTACGCTTACTATGCATATGTATAATTTTCTTATAGGAGTTAATTAAATACAAACAAATTATTTTATTAGGGAGAAAATTGGCCTATATCCATTCATTAACCTTTCTGAGCTTATGATTATAGCTCTTATATAGTTGCATCAGTCATTTTTAATACAAACCAGAAAATACAAAAGAGTTTGCAATAACTTTGCTAAAGAAATCAAATTTGGGGACTTTTTTGTTTTGGTTTTTTTTTCAGAAATAGAGATGGTAATCATGGAGAGGTGTAAACTGTCAGAATTGTCTATCTCTACTGTGACAGAACAGAATACAACAGATGAAGAAAAGAGTGCAGCTGCCTCTGGGAGTGAGATTACAAACTGGAACAGGTATAAAGGAACTGTAATATATTTTTCTGGATTGCTTCCTTACTTGGCCTCCTGTTAACTCTCTCACTTCTCCTAAGGGACATTTCAAATCTGCATCCAATTAAAATTACAGGGTTTCTTGCAGATCACAAATAAGTGAGGCAGCAGAAAAACAGGATATGGCCCCTCTGCTGATCACTTCAGGAAATGGTCCTGTTCTTTTGTAAAGTTTGTGCTTTCCCTTATGGTAATCTTGATGCCTTAAGTTGGTAAAGTTAAATTACAGAATATTAACACAATAAAACCAGAATATAAATGTTTTCATTCCAGAATTTTTGAAAACCTCTAAATCAAGGCAGAAGACTTGTTCTTAGTGATATTTGTGGTCACATCTGTCCGTTTTGTATATACCCATAGGGAAAAACCAAGGAAACTTCCTCTGTTCAGGGCTGAATTTTACAGAATTGTAGTAGTAGTTACAAGTAAACCCTACTAACCTATATATGGTTGCCAAGGTCCATTAGTATATATATGTTAGGGTTGTTGGAAACTTCTCTTGGAAATGTAGTTATTAAGGGTTTCAGGGAGCAGAAATTGCCCTGACTTCAGAATTTAAACTTGAATATATTAAATACCCATAAGACACTTTCTTAGTAAGAATTTTGTGTTCTTGTAATTAGAATGCTAAAGAAACCAAAAGTGCCATCTCTGACACAAAAGTAATTGCAAATGTTCCCTTGGGGAAATGCACATGTTTAATAGGATTTCAGATTTATTTTTAAACTTGGGAAATGCTGCCTGGTATTCCCAGAATTTCATTCTGTCTCTATTACAGCTTTGATGTAGTTTAGATTATATTCATTAATAAAGATAACATTTAATTTCATTGTAAAAGTGAAATTAAACCTTGACTTGAACTGGCTTTAAAATACATTGTTCTAGATTATTGATATTTTGACTAAAGTATGTCCTAAATGGCTTTTAGAAATTGGCAATGACTGCAGTGAATACTAAAGCAACTAGGATGCTCAGGTCTTGAAAACTGCAAAATACTTACATGTGAGATGCCAAATGTCTGCATTTCAGGAATCTCTTGATCTGTACTTATGATCTGACAGCATCCTGCATCTTTTAGTGAAAATAACCAGCATCAAAGAATGTGCAGAGCTAAAAATATTTTTAGAATAAGGATAGACCTTGTGTAGGGCATTTCTGGCCTTAGTTTTGTACATGAATTTTTGGAAATATAGGTGGATAATCTGCTATATCTTAAGACTTTATGTTATTCTATATGCCATATTTAATATTTGAAACAGTAGCAAAATATCAAGAAATTTAATCAAGTGTGTATGTCTTCTTTCCTACACTGATTGGAATCACTGAGCCTTGTGGATAAGGTACCATGTGGTAGTGAAAAATGCAGTGATCTTTTCTTCCATGGTTGAAGTGGGAGAAACTTCCATAACTGGAATAATCATTAATGACTGTGATAATAGTAATTCCAAATGTGTTGCAGTCTTCAATTGCAGACGCACTCCACAAGAATAAATAATTTGAAGAATACTTGTATGACATCTGATCTGTTTATCAAGTCACTAGTAAAAGGCTAGGAAAGGAAGAAAATGCTTACAGAGTTAAGAAATAAATTTGGAAATATTTGTTATATAGCCTTTAATATTAAAAGTGGTTTTTAAAAATTGTCCAATTGTTATTGAAAAATAAATGGAAAACAGCCCAGTTTGCAGTTAAATTTAGCTGTAAAAGGTAAGTCAAGTTTTAAATTTCCCTTAATCCTTTTACTACTGTGAAGGATGTAACAGAAAGTTTTAAGTATTTTTGGTGTTATTTTTATTTTGATGTGCCTTACTATTGGAAAGTTTAAGCCTAAAAGCTTGTTTTAAGTTAACTTCCTTCTATGATAGGCTACACAGCAGTTTTTTCCAGAATGAGAAACCTTCATGCTACCTTGTGCCTTCTGTTGCTACTTTCTTAGAGCTGATGTTTTTCTGGGTCTATCCTATGTTTAGTCTATACCAGGACCTGTTGATGAGTGGGATTCCTAGAAATTGTTTCAGTTTTAGATTATTGCAGTGGAGATTTTGATAATGCAGATAAATTGATGCTGTGAAGAAGCACCTGAAATGAAAATTATTTATCACACTGCTACTGCTGTAATCTTTTTTGAAGTTCTGTAGTTTCACAAATCTAAGTAGTATGTGTAGGAAAACCAATGAAAAATGCATTAGAGATTACAGAAGTCATTTAATACCATGTTATATCAGTAGCTATTCCATTAGCAGCAATATTTCTGCAGCTTAGACCTCCTAAAAACATTGGTTTTAATAAAATAATATTACTTCTACATTGTAGGTCATTTTTTTAGGGTAATGACCATCTGTGGTGGTCTGACAACAGACCTAGTGTTATCTAGCATTTAAGCATTTTAATACTTGAACCTGGGTATCTTGGTTGTCTTTCTTCTTTAGGCCTTGAAGCTGAATTCCCTTCACTCTGTAAAGCACCCTGTTTCAGGATGTCACGCGGCTTTGTAAGGCTGGTTCAATGCTTCGGACAGCTGAAGGCACTCTTGATTGATTTTCAACATTGCTCATTGTTTAGGCTGGTTTTGCTTGAATAGTTATGTTCTTCTGAGATCTACAATAGGAATATCATGGGAAATTTGGCTTCAGTACATAGAGCAGTCTTGAACTTGGGCAAAGAGGGATCGTAACTCAGTGGCATTTAAGCGTGTCATAGAGGATGCTTGTCATCCATCTTCAGAAGTGCACAAACATATGACTGCAATGTCATGAAATGGAGAGGAACAGTGTGTTCTGTTATTCGTGTCATAGACTTGTTTTAGTAAAAAAGAGCATGTTGTTGACGTGTGTGGAGTTGATGGAAAGTGTAAATGTATTGTTATGACCATTATATAGAAGTGTGACCGTAAGGGTGCCACAGGTCTGGAATAGGCATTGAAGTATCTTGTCTTCTGACCCTTAGCTAACCACAATGATGAGTCTGTAGTGGATGCTGTTTGTCTGCTAGGTCTGAAGATAGGAAAGTGTTTTTATGACTTCAGATGTTATTTTAATGTATTTATTTGAATGTAGCTTAGGTATTGTAAAGTGGTGGGGTTTAAGGAAAAAACAATCCTTAAGAGGTAGGAATTATCTCTTTTCAATCAAGATTTTACACTCTCTTCTTCTGGTGATGCTGACGTTTCCCTGATGCTATTGGGGTTTTTTTGTCTGTGGGTCACCTGTGAAAATGAATTTAATTTCTACTTGTGCTCTGAACTCACTGGATTCAAGCCAGTTTAAGACAAGAAACCAGGTTGCCTTGCCATCAGGCTTGTGCTAATATCAGCTGAATCTCAGCCATATCTGATCTGTCCAAACAGCTTCTGGGTTAAATGGACTTTTCTGGTTTGTTCAGGGTAGAGGAGAAGGTGGTCTTGGCACTGTTTGTAGCTTCCTTTATAGGTGGTGTTGGTCACACAGGCTTAAATGCAGGAAAACAAAGCTCATCTGCAGTCCAGAGCTTGCTTTTTTTTCATTCAAAAGTTGTCGTCTTGTTAATTTTTCTTTCCTGTAACTGTTTGGTAAAGTTTTTGACTGATTGTTTTAGAATAACCTAGCTTCCTCCAAACTTTTGGTGCAAAAAGTAAAAACTTTTCAACTCTGTTTAGCACAGTTTTAAGGTAGTCTTTTTCTATGCAACAGTGATATCAGCTCCTTGAAGTTCCTTACATATGTACTTAAAGCAAGTGGCACAGTGCTTCTGCATGCATACTAAATGTTCTACAAACAGCCCGATAAATGTGTCAACAATTTCTTCTTGGGAAATACTATGTAACAAATGCCATTAAAACATCAGAATTAATGTCAGAATGTAAATACAAAGCATGGCTATAATCCGAGTACTCTTAACAGGTTAATTTTTGTTTATTGCCTGAAAATGTACATTACTATAAACTTGCCTCTTCCATTAGCTACATGTAGAACAAAATGTTTACTCATTTTTTCTGTAGATGTTGTCTTTTCTTCTTATCCATTTAAAAATTGCTCCTTTCCACAGGCCTTTTCTTGATATGGTCTATAATGCACTGGACTGTGCTGAAGATGATTATTATGCCCTCTTTGTGCTCTGTCTTCTATATGCAATGTCACATAACAAAGGTAACTAATTTTTGCTTTTTCCAGAGAAAACTGAGGCATGTATGGTTTTAGACAGGCATGATCTGTTTGTAACTGTATGTATGCCTTAAACAGTGAGAAATTCTTGACATGGGGGAGACAGAAATAAGTATACTCAAGTAAAAACAGTTGCTACCGATCACATTTTTAAGAATGATTTGGTAGAATTTACTGACAATTTCAGTGCTTTCACAGTCTCTTATGACAAGAAATAATAGTGCAACTAATATCATCAAAAATAGCACCGCAGCCTTGCCATGCCCTCTCTGATTTCCTACCGCCCCCCTGCAACCACTGTAGTTCTCCCAGAAAACATCTTTCCCCAAGGGACTTTTGAACATCACTGTGCTGGAAAACAGTGATGTCAGAGATAGATTCTCTTCACTTAAAATTCATTAGTTGAATCTGTTAATAGCCAAAATCATTAGTTGTAACTGTTGCAACTTCAGAGAGTCCCTGGAAGTCTTTCAATGTCATAGTAAAGGAGTAAGCCTGCACCCTAGGGTTGTATTTCTTAAGAATTTTTCTATTTAAGACCATAGTCCTGCAACCCACTGTATTTGCTTTCAGTGTAATTAGTCATTCTTCAATATCCTGTTCTCAGAAAAGAAGTCTGATATCCTCTCTTGTTTCAAAGATGATTTGCTTACATCTATAGTATTGCTGTAAACAGTGAGGAATGCAGCAGATGCAGCCTTTTGCTGCTTAGATTCATCTATTTCTGTTCTGTTTATTTTTCACCCAATATCCACAGTTGCCAAGAGACATAGAATAGGCAGTGAAATATTTACCTTGTAAGACACTAAAAGTATCCTGACCAGTAAACTGGTGATACCTTTTATGCATTTAAGGGGTCAAAATCTACACTTAATTCCTTGGTGATCACATCAACCCTCTCTAAATTAAAAACTTTTTAGGCTATACTCAGTGGCTTTCCTTGTCAACAGTTTACATTAACCTGTTGCTCTTTGGAAGTTATTTTCCTTTCTCCTCCTATCCTTGACCTTAGATGCTATAAAGATAATAACATCTAGTTTTGATCTTCACACTCTTTCACCAACCCACTCTTTTTGTTCCCTGTAATAGACTGCTTTTAGCCTTGAGGGCCACAGAATCAGTGCCTGTGGCTTGAAGAAGAGTTGTTTTACAAGCTGCTGATTTAGTGCCCCGGTTCTTTAAAAGCTCAGGAGCTATACAACTGCTTGCTTCTACACCAAACTTAGTATCAGTCAGGGTAGAACTGGAGTCAATGTTTAAATCTGAATTCAGTATAATGCAAGAGATTGGTATGCTTACAGACTTTCTCAAGATATGTGTCAATGATCCTTTTCTTTTACAAAAGGACATGAAGGTCTCTCTCCAGACATGGAGAGGCCAGGTTGTTTTCCCAGTTTCAGGAAGTAATAAATCTCTAGGAGTTGCATGTCTAGAATCTATTTACTCTCTATCTGACAGATAGTAGATCCTGCAGTGAGCACTTGAATCAGTTCAAATAAACAGCTAATGAGTTGAAAATTTAGGACGATTTCTTGTGACTGAATGCAACCAACACAAGCTTGTCCTCTTTACACTACAGGAAAATGAGTTGCAGTTTTACGTTTTGGTATATTGACTGTTTAAGGTATATTTCTGATTCTCTAGCTGATTAGTTTGAATTTCACCTTCCCCACCCCCCCCTTACTCATTCGGGCACTATGGAGAAGGCTACAACAGAACACATTCAGAAAAATCTGAATTGCCCTAGCTTAACCAAGAACTTTGGTTTCAGTCCTTGCTTCTAAGGGAGCAGCCGTCTCTGTCACTAAATGTAGACACCCTGCTGAGGCTTTTTATTGTGACTCCTTCCATTTGGATACTGAGTCTGCATTTTGTTCCATGTTCTTGAATGAGTTTAAAGACGATGTGCTTGTTTTTCACCAGCAAGAAATATCTCTGAACAGGAAGAAAGAATCCCAAGAGGTATACATATGCAGCTAAACAGATTTTTTTCAAATTGTATCTGAGAGATATTTAATACTAGACGCCCTTCATATATGTTGCTAGAGCATATACTGTATCTGAAGAATGCAGAACTCTGCATTGCTGTCAAGCAAACAACCAAATGAAAGATAGCTGAATATGAATTCTTTCACCATGATTTCAATTTGGCCACTTTGTTGGACACCTGCATGGTCCTGCTTCATTCCTCCTCCATGTTTTCTTAGTCTCCTGTATGATTTTCTGCTTTTTAGTGACACAACCTTCTGAGAGCTTAGTCTGCATACAGATATTCTCTGAGAAATGTTACCAATAAGCAGCATTCCTTTTGAGAAGTAAAACTATAGCTGTTTAGTAAACTGTTAGATTGTTGTGAACACTAATACTATGATTGCCCTGGTTCCTTAAAAGCTTCCTCCCCCCACTCCCCCCTTTCTTCAGCCTCATGACAGAAAACGTTTGTATCACTGTTACTAATCTTCAAACAGACCCTTTGTTAATTGTTCTAAATACATATGCTTAGTGAAGAAATAAATCAGATATCACAAATGATGTTGATATGATGTAGTTAACTACAAGCTTAGGGTGGAAAAAAGTTATAAACTGCAATATAGTCATCTTCTGGTTTATGGGGTTGTTTATTCTCATTCTTTAGAACAAGGACAGGGAGATCTTCAGCAATCCGTAACTATGTTCTCTTCTAACAGGTATTACAATAACCAGTCTATCCTGAGAAATAACTTTGCTATTTTAGAGGAATATGTTGAAGAAAGATCGGTTTAATTTCCTTATACAACACATCAGTGAGAATCTGTGATTTGCATTGGGGAGGATGGGTACTAAATAATAGACTACTAGGTACAAAATAAAATTAGCATCTTTCTAAAACATGTATGAACTGATCACTTACTACCAAAGTGGAATTTAAAGTCAGGCTTTCATCTTTTCCCCGTTAGCCTTTTATGCTCTTCAAATGTGTGGCTTGACTTTTTCATTTAGATATAAACAGTCTCAGAATTCCAGATGCAGCAAAATGGTTTGGATGTCACCAAACTTTGAGATTTGGGTGTCTTCACCCAGTAGGCTCCATTTAAGGCTAAGATTTCTAAGGGATACATAAATGTGTTTAGTCTTTCTATTGTTCCTCCTTTTCATTGTAACAAATTCAAAACTAACTTGTCCTGCTTTGTACTGCTAATTACACTCTTCTGAGAAAACCACTATGATCTTTTGAATACTTACCTCAAAACATACTCCTTGTGTTCTAATTCACCTTTCCTCCTTCATCCCCCACAAAAGGAATTGACCCAGTCAAGCTGGAGAGAATTCAACTTCCAGCTCAACATGCTGAAGAGAGAAATTCTTATAATCATGTACTTGCAGAAGGGCTTATCAGGATAATGAATTATGCTGCACAACCAGGTATCACTTTTCCAATATTTGCTTTTTTTGGCAAGCTGGAATTTTTGAAGATGAAAAAAGAATGCTACCTAGCCTTTTGTCTTTGAGGGGAAAGCATCTGTTTAGCATTCTCTTCAATGAACAATAATTTCAGTGCAACAGCAAACAATAAGGTATGGTCCGTGAAAGACAACTATCAGGTTTTCCTTGATTGATGAAGAAACAGAACTCTTTCTGCTGAGTAGTTGTTTTTATACTCAGGACTACACAGGGATCTGTTGTCGTTGTCCCTATTATTTCTGAATACTCAAAAATGATGAGATATATAGTGATTTCAGCTTAACGTATGATTTAATCCTGAAAATATGATCTGTGGCACCTCTGCTTGTAAAAGTAATTCTAGTGGAGAAGTAGTCTTAAAAACTATATGGTACCCTTAGCTTATAGCAGTCCTTTGTCTCTAGAGGTGGTAAAAAAAAAATATGGAAAAATTTGCTAATTGCAGACTGTATTTTTAGTTCTGAACTGTTTTGCAGAAAATGTGGGTTTTTTTCCTGACTGCAACTTTTTTTTTGTGAAATGAGAGATACAAGGTTTAGTGACTTATTCCACAGAAACATGATTTTTGTTCAAGCCACAGTTCTTCTCCCTGCACTTCCTCTCTTCAAACTTCAAATAAGTAGAACTGGTTTTCCCCTCAAACTGTCACACTATCAAATTCCTGATTGTCTGCAGAATAAAATCTAATGTTTGTTTGCAGGATTGTTCTACAGAATATTAACTTGTTATGCTGATGTGCCAGTCACAGATTAAAAGCATGTTTATATATAGAGTTTGTACATACTGGAGAAGGAAAGAGTGCAAGATGAGGAAATGCATTTATTTAAACAAAAGCACTTCTTGGGAGGGGTGGAAATAGTGGGGATTTATTAATCTTGCTAAATGCAGTGTAGAACATCTCCTTTTCTTTCTGGGGGTACTGGCCTCAGTCTGTACCTTTAGTTTCTGGCAGCATAGTGCTGACTTGAAAATTGTAGGTGGGAGTTGGGTTCAAAAACTAATATGTCTGCCTCCTTGGGTCTATTGTCTTAGTATTGATCCCTGAGCTTAGGCTGTACATTTCTAATATCTTTTTTTTTTTTAAATACTTAAAAGCTTGAAATTTAAATGCATTCTTTCACTCTTACTTCTCTAGATTCTCCCATCCAGGCTGTATCTGAATCCTTTGGACACTTTTTAAGGAAAAGCTATGTCCTTTTAGTATGCTATATACAAAACTTCCTTTCATCTTGTAACTTTATCCATGCCAAATTCTGATTCTTTGGTAATTTTAGTGTAATTCAGCCTGTGTTTCAGGTTGATACAGGCATGTACTTGGCTTCTTTTCTGATAGTCTTAATCTTTATTGCCTTCTTATTGCATAATTCTGCTTTAAATTTTCTTCTGCTTTGAATTATTCTTCCAGCATTTTTTTTTATAGCCGTCAGCATTTTAAACCAGCATCAGCACTCATCCTTGTCAGACAGGGGTTGTATGACAATTACAGAGAAGACTAGAAACATTTAAGAGCACTGAATAATGAGAAGAGCAATACTTAAACTGCTACTGTTCTGTATATTGAAATTTTCTTTTCATAGATGGAAAAATCCGTTTGGCAACTTTAGAACTTGGCTGCCTGTTGCTGAAGCAGCTTGTGTTTTCTAAGAATGGCAGCATCATAAAAGATGTTCACCTGGCTTGCCTTGAGGTAAATATTTGCTTTCAAATTACCAATCACAGCACTACTTTTCTTTGAGTCTTGTTGAATAAATTTTTTTTCATTTCCAATTATAAGCATAAATACAAAATTTGAGCTTCTAAAACATATTTCTTCTATTGGTTCCTCTGTGCAGTGAATGCAAAGAATCAATACCCCATGTTCTGTTCTCAGCTTTGCTGTTACCTTGCTATTTAAACTCTTAACATATCAAGCAGGGTTATGTTTGATTTTTCTCTCTGAAATGTGTATGTCATCCATCTCAAAAATGTAAAGGAAGTGCTTTTGAGACTAACAAGATCACATAAGCAGTATTTTCCTAAGTGCAAGAACTATGTTCTATCATATTCAAGGCTATGAGTATGGGGATATTAACAGACAGTCTCTTCTGTATGAGTTTTTGGGTGGGGTTTTTTAAATATAACTTTTGAGTAAATAGTGTATTTACTCCCTGAAACACATTTATTTTGTCTTTTCTAGGGTGCAAGGGAAGAAAGTGTTCATCTTCTTCGTCGTTTCTATAAGGTATATATGCAAAATGATGTCAGAAAAAATCCTTTACCTAATGTGGAATTAGAAGCAAGACTGCAGCCCAGTCTCTATGCAGTGGCCAAAGCAGTACTTTTTTTTTAACATGGGAACTCTGTATTTGTGATAGAGAAGGAAGTGTTTTGTTGAAGGTTTCCTCTCCTTTTCTGTCCTTACTGTAACACACTGACATACATAAAAAAGGCTGTTTGAATTCTCACATGGTTTGTACTGGAGGTCAAGTTAGCAGTCGTGCTTTTGTGGCAGCTGCTATGTATTTCATGGACTGGAGCCACATTATTGGAACATTTCTGGGATTTTATGATTGACACTAATACAGAATGTGTTTCTTTTTGGCATTACTTTTAATCTGTGTCTTATCTGAAATGATCTAAAATTTTACTTAATATTTTTTTTCTTACTAGAGACCTCTGCAGTGATTTCCTGTTTTTATTTGTATTGTAAGCAACTAGAGAAATGAAACTTTTAGCCACTTTTACAGCAGTATTAACTTCTGTATGAGGACCAGTAAATCCATGGCAGACTTCAATTGTCTAAATCTATTTTGTGTTAGAATTCTCTTGAAGAATGTTTTCTCAATGTGGCTTACAAAAAAATAAGTAACTTGTAATGGGTTGACCTTGGCTGGCTGCCAGACATCCACCCAGCTGCTCTCACTCCACCTCCTCAACAGGATGGAGGGAGAATAGAAGATTAAAAAATCTTGTGGTTGAAATAAAGACAGGGAGATACTTACCAATTACTATCATGGGTAAAACAGACCCAACTTTGCAAAAATTAGTTTATTGTCAATTAAAATAAATGTAGATAGTGAGAAACAAAGACAAATTAAAATACCGTCTTCCCCCCACCCCTCCTTTTACCCAGGTTTAACTTTGCTTCTTCATTTCTACCTTCTCCCCCCGCTGAGTGGTGCAGGGGAGGTGGGAAATGGGGGTTTGAGGTCAGTCCATAATAGTTAATCTCTGCTGCTGCTTCCTCAAACTTTTCCCCTGCTCCAGTGTGGGCTCTCTCATCTATGGGCTGCAGTCCTTCAGGAAAAACATTGCTTCATAGCGGGTCCTCCACCCACCTGCTCCAATGCTGCAGTGTGGATATCTGCTCCACCAGGGCCCTCTCCCCACAGGCTGCAGAGGAACTTCTCTCCTTGTTGTAAACGTGTTTTCCCAGAGGTGCCATCAGTGTCACTGGGGGGGTCAGCTGTGTCCTGCAGTGGGGCTGTTGGAGCCAGCTGCAGCCATCCATGTCCAGCATGGGGCAGCCCTGGCCTCTCCTCACAGAGGCCCTGCACAGGAACACTCAGTACATAATTAAACAAAAGCAAACAATCATGGCTCCATAGCTGTAAGGATTCATGATATGTCCATATCCCTTTTCTTGAAAGGGAGAAGAAATTTTCCTGGACATGTTTGAAGACGAATACCGGAGTATGACAGTAAGTGACACCCCTTCCACCCTGCCAAATCCTCAAACCCAGATACAACACAGGAGCAAGAACAAGTATTTACTGATATAAATCATATATATCATACGGAGTATGCAGGTATCTTTATATCTGGAAGCAGAATAACAAAATGTGGGTGCATACTTTGTCTCTGAGGAGTTGTGTCTACACTTAAATAAATCATTTGTGTGAAATTTCACAGCTGTTATTTAATAAAAGCCCATTATTTTCCGAAGGCTAGTACACAAAAATTACTTTATCCTGGCAAACGGAACATTGGATTAATTAGGTTTTTTCTAGTTATTAAACAGTGTGAAAATCTTCCTGTATCTTTCTGAAGCCCTTTCAGTTTTGAGTACTGCCTCTTTACTTACCAGTAGAGAACTGGGTTCTAGGGAGAAATTAGCAGGGCATTTGTCTAATCTGGGAGAGGTACTGCCTGCACCACAGTACTGGCTGTGAAAGTTCTAACAGATTAACTGAACTTAATCTCAGACAGTTCATATTTAACTTGTAAACATGTTTTTAAAATAATTATCTGTTTCAAATAATAGGTTATATCTCAGACAAAAATACTTTGTGTAGTCAGTATAGGTTTTTGCCCCACAGTGGTACAGGGATTTAACGAGCAGCCACTGGTTGTCTTTTCTGAAAAAGCACAGTCTACAATTCGCATGTTCCAAGAAGTCTTTTAATACAGGAAGCATCTTGCATGTATTTTACCAGCCTGAATAATAGAAGTATTTAGTGAAACATTTACTTTTTTAGTAGTTAAATATTGCTATACTTTTAGTTTGAGAAGTAGCACTGATACTAGTGTCACTTTTATGTTGCAGGTTCAGTATATGTGTAGATTTTTCTGTTGTATATCCATTCTGAGGCTACTTTCTTATTTATTATATGAGACAGAGCTACACCCTGGAACTTGAACTTTGTTTTCTTTAAAGCGTATTTATTTGCCTAGCTAGCAAATGACTTGCTGGCTGGTCTGATTTCAGTGCTAAGTAACACTGATGTTTTCTTGTCAGATGAGCTCTGTAAATAACATATTATAGAGCAGCTACAATGACAGAAGTATACTTTGTCTGAGTGAAGAAGGGGAAAAGTGTTTTCATTAATGATAGATGAGAACAAGTTCAGAGGAGCAAGTAAATCGAACACTAGTCCTTAGGATTTCTGCTTTCAGCAACGAGTTTCCTTTTTTAACATTCTTCACGTGTATGATGTAAAATGCTGTTTAAACCAGTGTACACTCATGTGAATTACATCTGAAGTGGATATTTACTTGTTGGAAATCTTAGTTCCGTGTTCTCGTTTTTTCTTATGGTCTGTGTAGATTTCTCTATCTTTCCACACATTAATTAAATTCATTAATCCAGTGTTTTAGACACAGAAAATGAATTGTTCCAAGATCAGAAAAATTGGCTAAACGCTCTTTTTGAGTTTGTGTGCAAGGCAGCAGTTCGACTGCACTGTGAAAATTCTGGACCTTGTTTGTCTGCTGCTTTTATGGTATCTGACTATGTCAAAGTAGCCAGGAATGCTTCCAGTTACAGTTGGCTATTTTAGAATGCCCGCGTGACTGCATTTTTCTTCTGTGCAGAATTATTGTACAAGCTATGGGAAGGGCTTTATATATTTTAGACGTTCCAGCTGACTTTGTGGCAGAAAGAAGCATATATCTCGTGTGTGTGTGTATATAATAGAACTTGTATGAAATTGCCCAAAGGTACAGAAGGGTAGATATTTCAGATGTCATCTATTCATGAAAAAAGGCAACCATGTAAGGGAGAGACTCTTTTAGCAGCAAGATTGAAAGGAATTGTCTAGTGTGAAAGTTACTGCATTATTAGAGACTAGAGATTTCTTTTGGGGGAGAAGAAAGTATGGGAAACTTTCTTCTTGTGATTAGACTCAAATTTATAATTAGATCAAACAAACTTGACAGACTTTGGTTTTTAGTACTCATGAAATAGCTTTTCTCTAATCTTTGAGAATTTTTTCTGTGTTTTTTCAGTATGGAAACTTCAACAGTGTCTTAGGGAACAATGAGCAAATATAAAATAGAGATTACATGTAAGGAGCCTAAAATAAGATGGATGGTATTAAAAATTCTGAGCCATTTAAGAATTCCGTCATCTTAAATACAGTATTTTGAAAGTAAAGATGCAAATGCTTTTTGTTCTGTAATCAAAGTTAAAATATTTTTATAGATTAAACCTATGAATGTGGAGTACTTGATGATGGATGCCTCAATCTTGTTGCCTCCAACGGGGACACCACTGACTGGTATTGATTTTGTGAAAAGATTGCCTTGTGGAGATGTGGAAAGAACACGAAGAGTGAGTAAGACTATTTTCCTTACATTTGTTCATGACAAAAGCTTTGAGTGATTCTAGAAATACAAACATGTTTCCTTGAAAGCTGCTTGATTGGAAGTTTCATCCACAAAATCATACAGACTTGATGAAGACAGACCTGTCTGTAGAGTATATTAATATTTACCTGTCCCAGTCGATAGAGAAAAAGTTTATGATTTCTTGTGTCTAGTCAATATGTTCTTGGACTGAGGTTTTCATTTTTTAGACGATGGAGACATCAACATAAAAAGGCATTTTGCTGACATTCATTAATATATTGTCAGTTTCCTTTTGTGTTCTGATATCTCAGTCTGTCTGTCTTTATATTCCTATAGAGGGAATGGCCACTGGAAGGCTGGCTGACTTCATATTGCTTGTGTTTCTAGACATAGCCAAAGGTAATTCATGATGGAGATCTTGAGAGTGAGGAGAAAAATAGCAAAATATCTATTTCTGTGACTGACACAATCTGTAAAGGTGATACTGACCTGAATAACATTGTCAGTGTTATCTACCTGTGTCCTATGAGCCCTGCAGTGCCAGTAAGTCTTAAAGATATGTTGCAGCACGACATTATTATTTGGAAAGTGCTGTTATTTGGGTAGCTTTGCATTTATGTAAGTATATTCAAGTACTCTTGAAGAAAAAAAAACAAAAACGTTTCCAGGAATCTTCGGAAAACTTTTGTTTTCATTACTTATTATAAACCACACAACTTTTGTTATCACAGCAAGCTGTTTGATAAAGTACAGTGAATTATCTTGAAAAGGATTGTTCTTAGAAAGCAAAATGCTTCCTAGAATTCTCTCTGAGGCATTTAGCAGAATGATACTTAAAAATATACATTAGTGGAAACTGAGTGCTCCATGGTTTTTCATCTGCTAAATAAGGAATAGTTTAACTTCTGTTGGTGGAAATGTAAAAATTAAGACAGATACTCCTGTAAATTCTTCGGGGTGGAGGGGTCTTTCTTATTAGCAAGTACTCCTAGAACAATTCCTTGTTGGTCCTCCTTCCCCTGATCTCATTGTTCTAGAAGTTTTAGAATGTCTTAGAATTCCTAAGCTACTTTTTTCCAGCTAGTCTACCTCTCTCAGGCTTATTTGCTGGAACAATATGCTGAACTTCAGGTGTATCTTGTGATATTGCTGCTGTCACTTAACCTGCTGGAGTTCCTTTTTGCTGACAGTTTCAAATGGATGGTAATTCAATTATGAGCGTTCCATGGCATGATATTTAAAAAGTACCCAAGTTCTATTTTACTAGCAAGTGAAGAAGTCCCATAGTTTGATTATGTCATGAGTTCTTAGCTGTTAGAGATCAAATCTTTTTAGGCTGTCACTGCTTTGGCTGTAGAAAGTCCCTCTAAGTGGTAATTCTTTTCCTCTTAAGAAAGTTAGGAGGAACTCTCAGAAATCGGGTATCTCTCAAGTTATCAAAGGGATATCTCCAAAATCCAGTTATCCAACTCCTCTAAATTAAAACATCACAATGACCAGAATTTGTTAGGCTGCTTTTTGAAATCAGCTACTACTGCCTGCCCAGAATCAAATATTCTTTTGAATTGTTGATAGTCCAGTTACTACTTGTTGGTTGCATCTCTTCCTTCTGATTTCTATAACCCTAAAGATGGTACTGCTTCCCAGTCACGTAGAATAAAGAGAACTCATTTACATGCTTATTTGGGAAGTTATGAACAGTGTGGGTCTTAAACTCTGCACCTTGGAGTACACAGCAAGCAAAGACTTTGAGAGAAGTTTTTGAACTACCCATGAGAATGCTATTTCATGGGAAAGGAGTAAGGTACTGGTAGGTTTCCCTGCAAGCTGCTCTTTTTTTGCACGTGTTATGTGCCTATGTAAATGAAGGAATTGGTGTAAAGTATACCTCATTGTAATGTGTAGTTTCTTCAGTGTATATAGCAATTTGTATTTTGTCCTACTTAACCGAGAAAACAAAAGACAGCTGAAAAAAAAATTGTAGGCCACTGAACTCAGCTGTTTTATTGAGATCTAATAAAATGTTACGGGAAGTCACAAATCACATGCTTTGGGGATTATATTGATATAGCAAAATGAAGGCTATCAGTATTGTAGGAAGCAGAATGTAGTTCCCTTTTCATCTGATGTTCCTGATTGGTTTGGTGTTTTTCTTTTCTTGCAAAGGCTAAAGTTCTAATTTGCTATCCTACTCCTGTAGATTATTCTGCAGTAAATGTGATTACATGTTTGGAGATGAATGACATTAGTTCTATAAGGAATTTATGTGAGGAAAATTAATACTGTCTCAGAGGCAAAGAGGATTGAGGGGAAAATAAGTGAAAGCAGGCTGAGTGATGGCTGTCCTCTGAATTTAAAAAAAAAAAAAAAAACAAACAAAAAAACACCAAAAAAACAAACATCCCAACTATTGGGTTTGACTTCTGGGTTATCAAAAATGCAAGGATATTGCTGTTCTTGATTGAATTTGGAAACTTTTAAACCCAATACCATGAATTCTTCTTGAGGCATCCAGTATTAGAACTGCTTTGTGGTAATCCTATTTAATTTCAGTAAATCCACAATACGTTAGAATGCAATCTGCCTAAATGAGAGAGGCCATCTCCCATTATAAAGTGACATTCCTCTTATTCATAAGGTAGTTTTAATATCTTATTTTGGTAGATATATTTGACATTCTTTGCTCCAAGTAATCATATTGCCCTCTTAAATTTCAACAGCATACTGAATTCATCTGCTCTGGCATCAATTCACGGAAGAGCCAGATATATGATGTTCCTCTCTTCATCCCTGTTCTTCCAGAAGTTTCTGAAAGCACCACCACTATGATAGCTGGCCAAACACTCACATTTCTAGTTCACAGGAGCCACAGTTCTGTTGATGTTAAGAACAGAGGGGTGAAGGGGTTTGCCCTAAAACAGTGTAGATTTGTTTTTCCTAATACTTCCTGCAATCTGGGAGTTCCTGGGCACTGCAGCTGTTCCATGTATTCAGTGCTTTTACTGTAAATGAACTGCTGCCTTACGGTATGCCACAGAATTACTATGTAGGAAACTATTCTAAAAAACAAAACACCGGAAGTAATAAAAAATGATTTTTTTCATTTGCTGTACAGAAAATACAGTACTTGTAGTGGAAGAGGTTTATAAATGGTGCCATTCAAAATGTGGCTAATAAAATTATGTTTGTTCTTCGGCTTTATATCTAGTCTTTGCATACCATATGTCATTAACTTTTAAATCAAAACAAGAATATTAATTTCACAGAGCAGCTGTTGAATGTTTCTTGGGCCTTTGCACTGATGTAGACCTTCTGAGAATATAGACAAAGTTCTCTGAGAATGCTGTATGGCACGTGGTTAGTTTTGATGAACACAGCAATTTTAAAACTCAAAAATCCCCAGTTTTCTCTCGAACTTGTAGACAACTTAGCTAGACTAAGCCAGAAAAGTTATTACTTCAAGTTCAGAATGTGAGGGTCTCTGAAGGTTGGTTGTGTAGTTGTCTGTGATTTATGGGTATTGCAAATGCAATCAGTCTTAAAGTAATGATTTAAAAAAAAATCCAAGATCGTTGTTTTTACTTAAACAGCTCCTATAATCATTTGCCTGTCAGTCACAAGCTGTGTAAGTGTGCCAGTGGGATAAAAGCTCTGCTGCTTCTACTTCGTTGAAAATAAATAGCGTGTTTCAACTTCCTTCATAGCCTTCTTTAACCAGTTTTGAAATTGCATTCTACTTTATTTTAAAAGTAGATTTATTGCATGACAGTAAACTCAGGGGTTGTAAAAGTGAGTATATGTTTGTAAGATTCTGTTAAAATACGTAGTATTGAGTGCAGCAGTATTTTAATAATTCTTTTTTTAATTTCTCAAGGCGATCAGAGTTTTCTTTATGCTCCGTTCACTATCACTGCACTTGCGAGATGAGCCAGAAACTCAGTTACCACTGACAAGGGAGGAAGGTCTGATAAAGACAGATGATGTTCTTGACTTGAGTAAGTAGTCCCTCAATTTCCCAAATAGTCTGTGACATGGAAAATTTGCTAGTTTTGGTTTTGGTTTTTTTTTTGAAGTAAAAACCCCAAATAGTTATCTTGCTTGTTTAATTGACTACCAAAAATGTATTAAGATTTGGATTTGGAACACTTCTTGTGGGTTTGTGGGGTTTTTTTAATAAGACTGTTAGTAAATATTCCAGGGTTTGAATATGAGCACATAAAGGATTTAGAGTCCTTCATCAGGTTTCCTGGTATGTTAGTTTTCTAAATGAACTGATCCTAGGAGGATTTTCTTCTGTTTTGCTTTCACCTATTCAAAATGCACTTAAACCATTCATGAACCTTAAGAGACTGGAGGTATTTACTTGCAACAGCTACACTGTACTGTTTTACTGATACTGGGGTTTACTTGTCATCATATCCCCATCCTGTCCTGGAGTTACTTCACATCTCTTCTGTCATTTTAAAGCTAGCCTATGGAAGCTTTTACTCCCTGGGAAGCTGTTCCCAAGGGGAATCAGTCTGTAATGTCCAGAATGACCTTGTGATAGTCAGTAGTACTTCTGAAGTGAAAGGCACAATGCCTTCTTTCTGCAGCATCATAGAATACTACTGCACTCTCCATACTGAAGAAACAAAAAAAATTGGAAGGAATAGAGTCATGAAGTATGCTATTTGTCTGCAAATTCAATATACCTGTGTTCATTTAACATCAAAATATACATCTCTAGATGACCTTATGTGTTACTAAACAGTACAACTTCTAGAGTAACGCTGGCCTAAGTCATAAAACTGTAGTTTTACTGTCTACTGTCTCCAGCAGTCACATTGTTTAAGAAACAGTAACTTGTCATATTTTAACTTAATCTTATGTTAGTGTGAGACATTTTCTTTTTGTTTAAAATATGTAGAGAAGGCTAGAATTTGAAAGGAAGTGCATGATGATATAAATACTATTAATTCCATTTCTTGTAATCAAGAAGAATTTACATATTGGTGTTAGCTGACACGTTAACTTTTCAGGCAGTTGTCTCATTAAGAACTTGCAGGTACCATTCATAAACTTTAGAGGGCATGCGGTTGCTGATTTAGAGAGGATGTATTTGCTAGGGGTTTAATTTTTGCAGGTTCTTTTTCTCACAAAAAGAGGGGAAAAAACAGCTTGGTGCTTCAGGTGTTCATTTTTTTATTCTCTGTGTTTATGTATTGTTGATTTTACTTCAACTGAAAAAACAGTTGCCCAATTTGCCTTAGATGTTACAGGATTATGTCCACTATCTTAGAGATCTTGTTGTCCATCAAGAATATTAATTGTCTGACTGAAGGGAAAACACTGAAAACAAGTGAGCTGAGCAAAAGTTTTATGATATCAGAGCTGCTGTGCAGTAGTTTAATGGATATAATCCAGATTAAACCTTAAACAAATTATTTCAAATTCTTAAAAATTAATTACATTTAATTTTTAGAAAATATATTTGTCTGCAATATTGAAAATGTATGAATGAGCATAATGCAAACTCATCTCTTTTGGTCATTCCCAAAAAACTTTCCCAAAGAGAATGCACAGCACAGGATGTTGTTACTTGCTATTCCTTGCTAAAGGATTAGTAATATAAAATTAACTGTTTCCTGTTTCAAATGAATTGGGTATTTATTGTAATGTTGCCTTTTTTTCCAGAGGGTAGAATGAAATAATGAATCAGCTTCTACAGGGGAAAAAAAGTACTTTTTCTTAAATTAATTGTTGTTAGTTTTTCAGAACATACTGAACAAAAGGTAGATCTGATTGAAATACTATTTCCAAATGTGACTTATTCCTCCTCTTCACCCTTCAAAAAATGAATACCTGCCTTTCGTCCTTGCTTATCTGTTAGCCCAGAGATACACTGATTGCTCTCAATATAAAATTTAGTTGACTGCACCACAGGTGTTGTGCAGTTCATTGCAGGTGTCGTCGTCTTCATGGCTTTTTCATTTCTAAGGCAGTTGCTTTTACACAGAATAATAGGTACACTTTTCTTGGAACATGTAGTTTAAACCATAGATTATTAATACTTCACTCTGCTATGCATAATCGTTTGTAATTTTTATTACATATCCATATAATGTCAGAGTAATTGCTAAAATAGCAGTCCATGCTCTGTATATTTAATGGTGTCCAAGGTTGTTTCCTTTTTCCAGCATGGGATGCTGGATATAAATGTTTAAAAGAGTCTATATATAGATATAGAAAGGATGTAAAAAACAAAAACAAAACCAAAAAACTATTAGCCTGAAAATTATCTGTTTCAATTTGAATAAAGCGTTCTAAAATTTTCTGAACAAAAGATTTGTTGATTTAGAACATCACCCTTTAGATTTAAACTCATTTGATGCTTTATGGCATATTATAGTCCTTAACTTTATAGTCATTAACATAAAATATGAATTTATACTAACCAATATGAACTGAGGCAACAGTGGTCCTGAATGGCTGGTTGTGTGGTACTTGCAGGCATGTGCATGAAGCCATTATTTGTTCGTATGTGTGTATATTCATATGTGTTTGCACATGTGTGTGTGTATAAGTAGAGAAGAAAAATAGGTTCCATTGCCCTACACATGGAACCTACATTCTGGTGCTCTAGAGACCCTTACATAAGATGAAATCTAGTGTGTAACTTAAGCTGTTTTGGTTTTTTTTTTTTAATTAAAAACTTTAATTAAGAATTAAGATTACAGGTTTTTTTACCAAGTTGGTTTTAACTATGACATCAGTTTTCAGTGTGACACAAATCAGAAGACAGAAGGATTGATACAGGACTTTCAGAATGGCTGAATGCACAAATGTATGTTTATATTCTGTGGACAGATGGAAAGCTGTTCTAGATTACATCAGAGTTAAACTTGAACCTTTTGCAGAGATGTTTTGGTAGCTCCAGGTATACTCCTGAGATACTTTTTAGTCAATGTCTAGTGCAGATAGTAACAGAACAGCATGAATTGTGGTAAGAACTGTTACACAATTGAAGAGTATTACAGTTGTATCTGTTCCTTGTGTGCTGCTGTTACCTATTTAAGTTAAATACAGAGTATCCACGTAATGATGGTAGTTCTGTGCTTTAGCATAGTCATTGCTTTTTGATCTTTTTACAGAAGGTTTTAGACTTTATTTTGGGACCACAGTATGTAATTACAGCCGTAGGTTTTTTTGCCTATGACTCTTTCCATATACTCCAGCATTTATTAGGAAACAAAGATCTCTACAGCTGGCAGAGTTACAGAAGTTGAGTTAAACACATTGCTTACAGGCTGTTTTCACCAGTAGTGGGCTATCTGAAGAGGGAGTGAGTCAGTGTGGGATCTAAAAATTTTCAATGGAGTTCTAGCCTATTTCCAAAAACTAAAATAAATTGGAAAAAGGCTGTAAAAAAAAACCAAACACCCTTCCTGTTGAGTTTTCTCATATCCTGTCTTTGAGCCAGAATCTCAATTGAACAATTAGTGCCTGATAGGGAGTTTCATATAGTGGCTTCAGAAGACTTTTCTTTCCTGTTTAGCTAGAAATGCATAGAATTATTTCATCTTCAAATCAAGCTGACAGGTGTTAGACTTGTTCCAAAGAAGTGTCACTGTGTGCACAAACATGATCATGTTTCAAGTGTTTCCTTGGGAGGAGCTTTTCTTGTCAGTAAATTGCTAAAATAATACTGTGTAGCACAGATACAGATATTTGGATCTGATCCTCACAGCAAATAGATACTATTTCGTTTTAACAAGTCACTTGTTGAGTGTACATGATTACAGGGTTGGTGTTAGCTGGTTTTTCCCTGTTTTGCTCTGGTTTGGGTATTTTTTTAACCATTTCCTTGGGACATTTACTTTTTTTCTCCATCCTTTCTTCCCATCTATCACCACACTTTTGTTCAAAGTCATCAAACTGTTTTGTGATTTTGCTTTTTAATTTTAATATTTTTAAGGCTACTAGCGAATACTGTGCGTTCACTGGGACGTTTGAGTGAAGGTCCCCATTTACATGTGCATCAGTTCCTGTATTTCAGTTGTAACGCTTTCTAAACTGCTTACTGCTGCTATTGATACTTAAACTACCTGAACTGAGGTAGTACAGTGATGAAGTTCTAGCGTGTGGTAGCATAAAGACAGCTTCCAGTTCAAGTCTTTTGCCCAAGAGAGACAAGAAATTATCAGCATTTTGACATAAAGCATATGGGATACATGCCACAGCATAGGTGCCATATCTTGGGAAGAGACTTAGCAGTTGGCAAAACATGACCCAAAAAGCTGTAATTGTGTGCAGTTTTTTTAATTATGACTTTGGAGATATTTTCAATCTAACAAATTTTCATCAATCTGTGTTATTACAATGCTTTATAGGTTTTTTGAAACATTGAGATGCTTCCAGTGGTTATGCTTATTCATATATGTAGAGTGTCAAGAAGTAGATGTTAACAAGGTCCAGTAATTATTTCAATACTGTTTTGATTTTGAGAAATCCTGTGAAACTCACCTGAATACAATACAGTGCTGGTGTTTTATGGGAGCTTGATGAGAAATGCTAAAGTATAAGGACGCATTTTAATATTTTGATGCACGTGTTCATTGTAAACCTTTAAGTGTAGTTGCAAGGTTGTCAGCACTATATATGACTGTACATTTAGAAATGAGTCAGGTATTCCACAGAAGGTTCATTCCATATTACTGGGTATGCTGCCACCTGAATAATATCTACTGTTACTTTTACTGTGAGTAGTTTTGAAGCACTCACATATTATGTGGTAACGGCCTGCCTTAGACTGCATGTGAGTTTGTGTCTCATGTAGGTGGCTTCTTTAATCTTATTCAGCAGCTCACTGTTCGTGTGAAATTCACTGGCAGCTCATATTAGCCTCAGTGCTTGGTTTCAGGCTGCTGATCTGTTAGTGACAAAGTTTTAAATGCTGTGGCCAAGAAGTAAGTGATGATTCATTTAAAACCGTTATTTCTTTGCTAAAACTGAA